CCTAAGCACCAGAGCACTGATCCTTAACATATAATTTCAGAAGCACTAATTCTATGACCGATTAAAGTGTTTCTGAAAACAGAGTTCGTGGTTAAAGAAAGAAGTTGAAAAAAAGTTTCGTTGCCAGTTTCCAAGAGGGGAAAATGTGTACTTGGTTTAGGGGCCATCGAGTTGGTTGTGACTTGGAGCAACCCTAGGCACTATTTATTGCCTGTTAATGCCTTTCTCACAGCTGTTATGTTTGAACCCATTGTTGCAGCCAGTGTGCCAATCTTGTGAAGGGTCTTCCTCTTTTTAGCTGACCCTCTACTATATGTGTAATTGTTGTTGTGTTTTTAAATACTGTCAAGTGGGTTCCGACGCATACTGACCCTGTGTAGGGTTTCTGAAGAATAGCTGTTGGGTTTGAACCACCTACCTTGCAGTTAGCGGTCTAGTGCCTGTCCTACGGCACAGCACCAGGATCCCATGTGTATAGTGTTGCCCAAATTTACATGGCATCAGACTCCTTTTCTCTCAGGACATCTTGAAGATTGGTGTTTCGTGGGAGAAAAATGCATTCTCTGATTCTTTTTTGGAGTGTGAATGTATAGTGTTGTTGTTGTGTTCCTTTTTTTAGTCAAGTTCCGATTCATAACAATCCTGTATAGGTTTCCAGGGAGCAGCTGGTGGGTTTTAACTGCAGACCTTGTGGTTAGCAGTCCATAGTTTATCCTACAGCACCATACCAGGACTCCATATAGCATAGAGAAATATTACATATTGCACATGTTTTATATTACATATTAATTACACAGGTAATATGTAATATAAACATTTGAGGTTAATGCATCTTATTTTACTAAATTTGGGTCTGATTTCTAACTTATGTTTTGAACATTTGTGTTTCAGATGGAGAACAAAACAAAACTTAGATTATTGTTTTCTAATGATGTATGCTCAGGAAAAGGGCATATATTATATCCAGGTAAGTGTGGGCTTTCCTTTCATGTTTTTCACACTTAGAAAAAAGTTAACGTCAAGCATATATTTTTGGGACAGCGGGAGGCTTCTGAAAGCATACCCCTCTAATAGCTGCAAGGATCCAGGGTCCAGGCTCAGCAAGGACACCGGCTCGCCACTCGGTGGTGTGACCGTGTGCTGGCCACCTGTTTTCTTCTCGTTCCTGCTCCCATTTCCCCGTCTTCTCTCTCAGCCTCTCCCTCTTCTGTTAAAAAGAACTGCTGCTGTTGTCTGATTATTTGCCAAATTGTAAAGAAGGATTCCCTTACAGTTTATTAATAGTCTTACGGTAGGAGGATGATGTTTGGTTTTAACACCACAGTTCAGCTCCGTTTATATTGAAGATCATAAAGCTGACATTTAGTTCTAATGGTCCAATTTTCAGCAGGATGGCTATAAAAATTACACTTGTATTCTACTATACAAGTAGAATAGTTATATAGTGATACGGTTTTTGCACTAGCTGGGCTGACTTCTGGTGTGGGCCCTGTAGGATGAGCACTGGACTGCCAACCACAGGTCAGTTCAAACCCACCAGCTGCTCCTTGGAAACCCTATACAGGGTCGCTATGAGTCAGAACCGACTCGAAGGCACTTAACAGCAACGACAAAAAGCTGCCGAGAGCTTGAATAATTCTAGGAAACTCATTTCTTCCCAGTCTCAATCCTGTTACTCACTTAAGCTTAAATACCACAGTTGGAAACTCCTTTCTTTAACTAAAGAGTGTCTTTACCTCATGTTCAAAATGAAAATAGGCTTAGAGCAGTACACATCTCAAGTATTTCAATTACTATTATATTTTATTAGGTCCTGTTCTGAAGGATGCTTTGCTGAGGGTGGCAAGAAGCAGCTCTGGGCACCTGACTCAAGAAGGGAAACATGATTCTTTACAGTTGTTCTTTCATTTAATACAACCATTTTTACAATGACAGATCACATGATGTGCACTCTTGTAACCTACTTTGCTGTCACTTACTGTGTTAAATACCATCAAGTTGGTTCTAACTCATAATGACACTGAAGAGTGGCTGGTGGTTTTGAGCCACCAATCTTGAGGTCAGCAGTCCAGTGCTTACCCTACAGCGCCACACTAGAACGCCTAACTTATGGTGTTTTCCTTGTTGTTAAGTTCCGTCAAGTCAGTTCTGACTCATAGTGACCCTGTATAGGGTTTCCAAGGGGCAGTTGGTGGGTTTGATCTGCTGACCTTGAGATTTGCAGTCTAGTGCTTATCCTACAGTGCTACACCAGGAGTTTTTCTTACTATGGTTCTTTTTTTCATTAAGTGCCCGTGAGTCAATTTCGACTCATAGTGACATTGTGTAAGGTTTCCGAGGAGTGGCTGGTGAGTTTGAACTGCCGACCTTGTGGTTCAAACCAACCTTACAGTCTAGTGCATTATTCCGCAGTGCCACACCAGGACTCCACTTATTACATTTGTTGTTGTTAGTGCCGTCAAGTCATCTCTGACTCACAGCAACCATGTATAGACTTTCAGAAAAGAGACTGGTGACCTTGTTGTTCAAACTGACCTTGCAGTCCAGCGCATTAACCCATGTTGTTCTTGTTGTTAAGTGCCATTGAGTCGATTCTGATCCATAGCGACCCTGCATAGGGTTTCCAAGGAGCAGCTGGTGAGCTTGAACCACCGACCTTGCAGTTCAAACGACTTTGCAGTCTGATGCATTAGCCCATAGTGCCACTCCAGGACTCCATTAACCCACATAGTAATGATTAACTGCCATGGAGTATGTTTCAACTCATGTTTTTGTTAAGTGCCATCAAGTTGGTTCTGACTCATAGCAACCCTGTAAAGGGTTTCTGAGGAGCTGCTGGTGAGTTTGAACCGTGGATCTTGCAGTCCAGCACATTAACCCACAGTGCCACGCCAGGACTCCAATCAATATAGGATTTCTGAGGCTGTGGTCGCTATGAGTCAATACCAACTCAATGGCACCGAACAACAACAACAAATCTTTATGGAAGCAGACAGACTCATATTTCTCCTGGTAGATTTGAACTGCCAACTTTGCAGTTAGCAGACCAACTAGTAACCCATTGTGCTACCTGCCATTGAATCAGTTATGACTCATAGTGACCCTATATAGTGCTTCCAAGGAGTAGCTGGTAGGTTTGAACTCCCCATGTTGTGGTTAGCAGTCAAGTGCTTACCCTAGAGTACCAGGACTTAATATCGACACATTAATATGCCAGTAAATTCAGATTTATATAATTTTTTAAATCACTTTTGAAAGTACCATTTTCTAGATATTTTAACAATTAGTTGGTAGTCATTTAGATTGCTTGCAGGTTTTCATTGTTACAAAGGTAAATCCAATGAGCGATCTTACACTCGCCATATTTGCCCCAAAATGACAACTCAGAAAAAGAGGAAGTTGTTCTACATTTTTTATCTACAATGTATTGGTGGGAAAAATCCATTAGTGTGAAAGTCCTCAACGTAATGCTGGTTTTGAATGTTTATAGATAGATAAACATATGTTTAAGGAGCACTGGTGGCTCAGTGGTCAATGGTTCAAACCCACCAGCTGCTACAGGGGAGAAAGATGTGGCCATCTGCTTCCAGAATGCCTTACAGCCTTAGAAACTCTATGGGGTGACAGGCTTGCAAGAGTTGGAACTGTTTTTTGTTTTGTTTTGATAAATGTTTGCATATATATGTATGTATATATGTGTGTGTGTATTCATATATGTATACGTAATAATCCTTTTTGTACTAAATTGACATGCTACAGAAACAATATTTGGCATCTTGCTTGCCATTGTACAGAGAATGGCTTTTGCCATGACAAAACACTGATGTTAGAGAGGTACTTATGGTTACAACTTAAACATATGTACACCCATGTTTGGTGGTGGTGGTTATGTGCCGTGGAGTTGGAACCGACTCATAGCGACCCTGTACAAGGTAAATCTTTACAGGAGCAGAAAGCCTCATCTTTCTCCTGTGGAACAGCTGGTAGTTTCAAACTGTGTTGACCTTAAGGTTTGCAGCCCGTGATAACCCAAAACTGGAATCAACCCAAATGTCCTTCAGCAGGTGACTGGTTAAACTACTGAGGTTAGTACAGACCTTGGAATAAATCCCATGCTGTAATACAAAGGCATGTTGATGCCCCCAACAACTTTGATGGACACCTCAGTGGAATTATTCTGAATGCAAAAAGGCAGTTTCAAAAGATTACATGCTGTATAATTCCATTAATATTCTAATGAAAAAATTACAGAGGTGAGAACAGATTATTGTGTAGCACCGTAGGATAAGCACTGGACTGCTAACTGCAAGGTTGGCAGTTCAAACCCACAAATTCCTTGGAAAACCCTATACAGGGTCACTATAAGTCAGAACCAACTCATGGCACTTAACAACAACAGAGAGAGGAAAGGCGAGAGAAGGTGGGAGGTAACTGTGGATATAAATGATCCAAGTTAGTTTTCCGGTTGTGATATTGTTCTGTAATTATGTAGCATCTAAATATTGGGGAAAACTGAATGAAAGATACACAAGATTTCTGTGGGGTTTTTTCCCCTGTATTATCTCTTACAACTACATGTGAATCTACATTTATCTTAAAATGAGGTTTGTTTTTTTTTTCAAGTTAAATGTTTTATGACATAGATGTGAGAGTGGAGCAAAGCAATTTTTTCTAAACATAAAAAATACAATTTAAAATATATATGGTAACTGAAATTAGTATATCAAAATTAAGCAGATACTTAACTATTTCATTTATATCCTTATATGTTTAAATCATTCCCAAATTTGTCTTTAGATAATACTCATTGGGAAAATTTTTGATTTACCATTTTAGAGATTGTCTTCTCTTTTAATATATATAGTAAATATAGAAATTGAAATATAAGCATATCATCTTTCAATCCTTGGTTTAGTTTTCCCTGCACCTTCCCCCTAAAGCTCCCATACTTCACAAAGTTATCCTCTATGTGTTATGATCTGCACAGTTGACTTCCTTTGCATAATTAGTAAAGCACAAGTAAACATCTTTCTGGTCTTCTCTGCTTTTAGTCAAGATTCATTTGATGTCAGCAATGATGTCCCTAGTTCCACGTACTTTTCTGAATCCAGTTTGAATTTCTTGCAGCTCCTGTCGTTGTATTACTGCAAACGATCTTATATTATATTCAGCGAAATTTTACTTGCAAGTGATATTACTGATGTTGCTTGATAACTTCTGCATTCTGTCAGATCACCTTTCTTAGAAATGGGCACACACATGGATCTCTTCCAGTGACCAGGAAGCTGTCTTCAAAATGTCTTGGCGTAGATGAGTGAGCGCCTCCAGTGCTACGTCAGTTTGTTGAAACATTTCAATTTGCAGCCCGTAAATTCTGCAAGCTTTGTTTTTCACCAATGACTTACAACTCAGCTTGGACTTCTTCCTTTAATACTGTTAGTTCTTGATCATATGCTACCTGTTGAAATGGTTGAACATAGACCAATTATTTTTGTTACAGTGACTCTGTGTGTTCCTTCCATCTTCTTTTGATGCTTCTGCATCATTCAGTGTTTTGCCCATAGAATTAATCAGTACTGCAATAGAGACTTGGGTGTTTTTTTTTCCAGTTCTTTTAGCTTGAGAAATGCTGACTGTGTACTTCCCTTTGGGTTTTTTTGTTTCTGGTCTTTAACACCTGTCAGTATAATACTTGACTTTGTCTTCTTGAGCTGTTCTTTTAAAAGTTCTATGCAGCTCTTTGACTTCCTCATGTCTTCCATTTGCTTTAGCATCTCTGTGCTGGAGAACAAATTTCAGTCTCTTCTGACATCCATTTTGATCTTTTCTTTCTTTCCTGTGTTTTTGTTTTGTTTTGTTTGTAGGAATGTATTTTATTTGTGAACTGAATAATAGTTTACATGGGGAACATTGATTTTACATCACTATTTCATTGCAATGATTACAATCTCTTCTGTGCATCATCATTCAACAGTATTTGCTTCCCATCCCCCTGTTGTGTGTTTTTTCGGGGGGGGGAGGGTGTGAGTGTGGGCGATGTACACAAAAACACTCAGAAATATATAATCATTAAAACAACCAAAGGACATACTCTGCAAGCCTGCCTCCTGGCCGCCAGCATCCAGTCGCTCTCTTTCCATGAGTGTTGCTGCTTCTCTGGATAAGGTCCTGTATTCCACTTGTGCTCTTTTCCCTTGATGGTCCTAGGGTCCCTGTTTCTGGATTGTAAGATTAACTACTCTCCCATTTTTGTTATAAAACTTCTACCTTTTCTGTTGTGACAGTCACAATTAGTCACGGTAACAATTACTCACTATTGAATCATAAGAATCTTATCCCCATCTCTTTTTTACCAGACCCTTCTAGACAAGATGAAAACTATTCAAACTCTGTCTTCCCCCACACACTGTTAAACTTAAACTCCCTCTTGAAAACTTGTAAGCCAGTCACTTCGTGCCCTTATCACCCCCTCATTTTAGATAGCCAATGTCTAGGTTGCCCGTCCCTATCTCCCCTTTATACAGAGGGGATAGTATTGATACTTGATGTGAAGACTCCTTTCCTCTTGATTGGTATTTTGAGCTACTACATCCATAAATATGGTCAAATTCATCAAATTGTAGCAGTTTACACTCATTTCCTTTATCAAAAATTGCTTATCTTCCTCTAGTTGAGTTCTTGGTTATCAAGCCATTGACGCTAGGTCAAATGGGTACTATCTGCAAGTTTGGATATTCTTGTGCATCTCCCTTCACTTCATATTCTTTCCTGTGTTTTTGATGAACTTTTGCTTTCTTCATATATGATGATGATCTTGATGTCACCACACAACTCCTGGTCTTCCAGTCATAAGTGTCTAATGCATCAACTTTGTTCTTGAGATGTCTCTAAATTTAGGTGAGATGTATTTAAGGTCATTTTGCCTCTTGTAGACTTGGTTTAATTTTCTTTAGCTTCACACATTTGAGTAATTGCTGATCTGTTTTGCATTCGGTCCCTGGCCTTGTTTTGACTAATGACATTGAGTTTCTCTTTCGTCTCATCCCACATACGTAGTCAGTTTGATTCCTGTATTATTCCATCTGGTAAAGTCCACGTGTATGGTCACCATTTATGTTACTGAAAACAGTAAAAAGTATTTATAATGAATAAGTAATTGGTCTTGCAACATTCTGTCATATAGTCCCTACTACCAAGGTGGTTCAAACCCTCCAGCCTTTCCACAGAGATACATAGCTTTAGAAACTCTGTACAAGGTGACTATGAGTCATAAATGACTCAATGGCAGTTAACAACAACAACAGCAACCATTCAGAAGTGGTTTGCCTCTCCTTCTTCATCGTCTGTCTTCATCTGGAAGCTCGACTAAAACCTGTCCACCATGGGTGAGCCTACTGGTGTTAAAATACCAGTGGCATAGTTCCCAGCATCACAGCAACACACAAGCCAACACAGTATGCCAGACTGAAAGAAGTGGGGGGAACTTTATATGTTGTTGTTGTTAAGTGCCATCAAGTCAGTTCCAACCCTTAGCAACCCTGTATAGGGTTTCCAAGGAGCAGCTGGTGAGCTTGAACCACTGACCTTGTGGTTCAAATGACTTTGCAGTCCAGCAGCGCATTAGCTCACAGTCCCACACCAGGACTCCCATCAAATGATACACATCCAATCCAACCTTTAACACTAGTCATCTCAACTGGTGGTGGTGGTGTGCCTTGGAGTCAGTTCTGACTCATAGTGACCCTGCATAGATAGGGTTATGGGAACAGAAAGCCTCATCTTTCTCCCATGGAACAGCTGGTAGTTTCACACTGCTGACTTGGAGATTAGCAGCCAGATTCATAACCACTATGCTACCAGAGCTCCTAAAGTCACCTCAGCTAGCAAGGCAGAAAAGAAAAGGCTGCTAACTTTGACTTTCTCTTTTACTTGGTACATATTTTATATATATAAAAAGATATTAATGGTCTGCAGAAATTATTTCCATTTGAAAAGAAAAAGGATAGCAGGCACTAAAGAGGCCAAGAAGGAATAATTCATCAAGGTCTATTTTCTCATGGTAAGCAGGGGGTTAGTTGATCTGTTGTGTATTTTAGTCCCCTCATTTTCTTTTAAGGATTTTTATTTTTATATTCATAATTTTTTTTGTTTTGTTTTCATGATAAAATCTCGAGTTTTTCAATAATGCCCTCTTAGACTCTTCTCCTCTTTCTGATTAATTAATATGTTTGTTCCATTTTCTCTAGCTTGAAGATGACATTATTGTCAAACAGAATTACTTTAATACTATTAAAAATTTTGCACTTCAACTTTCTTCTGAGGAATGGATGATTTTAGAGTTTTCCCAGCTGGGCTTCATTGGTAAGAGAAAATGTCCAATTTATCTACTTTTCAAAATAATTTTTACTCTCAAATTCATTAAGTTATTTTACTCTAAAGTTGTCTCTTTTTTCCCTATGGAGATTTAAAATTTTTTGACGGATTGCTTTTTAAAAAATTTAATTATTTTTCTTAAATACAGCATAGGTAAACTTCCTTGTATGAAATGATGAAAATCAATCCCAAATAAAGTTTGGAGACTTCTGAGGTTTAAATACTTATTCCAGGCTTCCACTGGGGCGCACAGCGGCTCTGTAGGGTAATCCCAAGGACAGTTGGAGCTCACCACCAGCCCTTCTGTGGGGGAATGATGAGACTTCCGCTCCCTCAGTAGAGACAGACAGACAGACAGACAGCTTCAGAAACCCTATCCACAGTTGGTATGAGTCAGGACCAATTGGATAGCACTTAGCAACAATAAGCTTCCACATGTTTTTTTTTTGGTATAACTAGTGCCAACTATGACCCCAGTGAGCATGTTTGATTTCTCTGTCCCCATTTCCTTTAGTCCTTTAGTTCTTCTTTTATAGCTCAGTGTCATTACCAGAGAAAGAATATCACAGTAAAGATGTGTGAGTTCCTGATATTTCCATGCCGTGCAGTAAGTGGTTAGTTTTTTATTCTCTTTTTTCTTTGGCTAGTTAAGAAGCTCATTAAAAAAAAAAAAAATCATATTAAATTGGCCACCTAAAAAGCATTTATGTTTAAAGTAGAAGAATTGAAGGAAATTTGTAGTTAAAAACACCCAAAGGACAATATTTCACTCGCTATACTATTTGTAGATGTCCTGTGTGGCACTGACGGATAATGCACTGGACCACAAGGTTGGCTTCAACCACAAGGCCAAAGGTTCAAACCCACCAGCCGCTCTTTAGAAACCCTTTACAGGTCGCTGTAAATTGGAATCAACATACGGCACATAACAACAAAAAAATTATACTTTAAAACATTAAGTATTAGAGGCTAAACCTATGACCTTATTGTTCCTTTAATACAAAACAGATTTTTAAAAGTTGAACAGCATCTTTAGTCATAAAGATTTCAGTGAAGATAGAATTAGAAGTTCTTGGGTTTTACATTTAATTGATTTAGTTTTTAAAATATTATCTTAACCTCTCAGGTTCTTTTTTTATGGGAAGAAACTTTAATGAGACATGAAGGAACAATCTCAGTTGCTTTTTGAATCTTTTGAACCAGTAGTTATAGAATTGATTTTATAGTAATAGATCCAGATGGTTGTTGAAGAGAATGTTTAACTAAAGAAAGGAGTGTCGTGGCTCCATAAGTTAAGTGCTGTACTGTGAACAGCAAGGTTGGTGATTTGAGACCATCAGCCACTCTGTGGGAGAAAGATGAGACTTACTGATCTTGTAAAGATTTAAAGCCTCGGAAACAACAAACAGTCCTTAACAATAACAGCAAACAAAGGAGTCCTGGTGTGGCACTATAGGATAAGCACTGGACTGCTAGCCACATAGTTGGCAGTTCAAACCCACCAGCTGCTCCTCAGAAACCCTATACAGGGTACCCTCTCTGTGAGTCTGAACTGACTCCAAGGCACTTAACAACAACAACATGATGATGATAATATAAGTAATTAAACATCATAGTTGCTTTGATGCTTCATTTCCTTATTACATCTGTTGACTTGGAATATCTTTTCAGGTAAAATGTTTCAAGCGCCAGACCTCACTCTGATTGTAGAATTCATATTTATGTTTTATAAAGAGAAACCCATTGATTGGCTTTTGGACCACATTCTCTGGGTGAAAGTCTGCAATCCTGAAAAAGATGCAGTAAGTTCATTTTTAATGGGGGTGGAGGGAGGTTTCTTTTCTGTATTTTATGTAACTTTTAGTAAGGTAATTTTGTGAATGAACTGTTACATAGGCAGACCAAAGTATAGAGTGTTTCTACTGCAGGTTTAAATTTCCTGCCATCTTTCTTGAACTGATAAAAAGTTTCTGTATTCCAGAACCTTTTAAATAGCACTGAAATGGCTTTGTAATTTGGGAAACCTGTTGCAGAACCAATGCCTGTTCTTTAAATGACTGGAAAATGCTTCTCTTGTCTTTAGGCTTCTAGCATGCCATTACTGTAGGATAGAGATGTTGATCACATCTTTCCTCTTCAAGGTGTTCTTTCAGTGAGTTTTCTCATTCTATGTGGACTCTTTTATTTTCAAATCCGTTGAGGGCGATATCAGACCCCAGCATATCTGCAAATAAAGAACAAAATCTAACGAGTGTTCTATGCAAAAACAGTGACAAGCAAAAAGATGTGCCTCTCAGTATATTACTGGCAAGAAACCAGTGTTCATACTTATATGCTTCCTTTTGGCATACTGGTGGGCAGGTAAGTAAGTGAATTATGATTTTTGCTCTTATTACTGAGCCCTGATAGCACAGTGGTTAAAGCGCCTAGCTGCTAACTGAAACATCAGTGGTTAGAACCCTCAGCTGTTCTGTGGGAGAAAGGTGTGGCATAAATATTTCCAGCCAGGTAAACCGTAGCGGGCAGCTCTTCTGTATCCTGTAGGATCATTAGTAGTTGGGATGGACTCAATGACACTGGGTTCTTGAGCTTCAATTATTCAAATATTGTTATTTCCATAGAAATCTTATTGTAAAAAAACAATTAGATAAATTTTCCTTGGCCTGTTTGAATTGCATCTCCGAAATAAATGCAACTTCTAGTATACTTGGTATAAACATAAAATGCAAATGTACAAATTCTTAAAATTAGATAATTTAGTAACTAAATACTTATTTTAAGCATATATCTTTATAGGCTGAGTTAACATTCATTATAACAAAATACAATAGTATGACTATGTTCTCTAGAATAATTTGATTACCCTATCCCTCAATCGTGCCTGACCCAAGCCATGGTATTTT